GCTCACATGCTTTCATCTCCTATTCACATCACCTCTGCCTCCATGTCACCTTCGCACTGACGACCAACTAACACGTCGTTTCCCACTAGGGTTCCACTCGAGTGATGTCACTCACTTGATGGTGGTTTGTTTTCTCAGAGTATGGCCATCAATCCACCTCCATTTCTTCCTGCATATTTTTGGCACAATTGCTTCCTGCTGAGTTGGTTCGCTTATTATCAGCATCAAAAATAAGATCCGGATTTTCAACTCCAATGTGAAGTCAGTGCTGCTATACGGATCAGAGACTTGGCGAGTCATAAAGAGCATCTCAAACAAACTTCAAACCTTCATTAACAACTGTCTCCGCTCAATACTCAAGATCAGATGGCCAGAAAAGATCAGCAACAGGGATCTCTGGGAGCGAACCAATCAGGAACCGATTGTGAAACAAATAGGCAGAAAGAAATGGAGATGGATTGACCATACGCTGAGGAAACCATCAAGTGACATCACTAGACAAGCCCTCGAGTTGAACCCGAAAGGGAGGCGGCGAGTTGGTCGTCAGTGCAAGGGTGACTTGGAGGAGGTCATGCGAGGAGGAGATGAAAGCATGTGAACAGACCTGGAGCAGGGTGAAAAAGTTGTCAGAAAACCGAAGTCAATGGAGGTGCGCAGCTGAAGCCCTATGTTCCTCTAGGAACTAAAGGATACAATAATATAATAATTACCAGAGATCCCTGTTTCTGATCTTTACTGGCTGGCCAGCTGATGTTGAGTGAACCGTTGAGCGAAGACAGCTGTTGATGGAAGTCTATAGTTTGTTCGAAACACTCTTCATGACGCGCCAAGTATAGCAAGTAGCACTGACTTCACATTGGAGTTAAGAATCGGCATCTTATTTTTCATGCTAAGTGCTGTTGACCTCCACACAGACTTGAGAGTAATGAAAGCTTGCCTTGCTTTCCTGATCCTCGCTGCTTTGATATTCTCATCAATTCCGTCCGCCTGTAGTTGAAACGATGCTTCCTAGGTCAGTGTGTAGGTGAAGGATGTTTCTTCTTTCAGATTTCTCCCATTTGTACTGATTGGTTTCTGTTGTTGTTGACCAGGAATTTTCACCACCTCTGTTTTCTGTATTTTCACCTGAAGTACTTTCTATCTTTGATGCTTCTTCTAACATATATAATCTGAGAAGTCCATACCCTCCAAGTTTTTGTGTGGGCTCATTTTTTTTATTGCAGCTTGATTGCACAGGTGTGGAATTTTCAGCATGTGATATCGGTAGCCCAAATTTCGCAGGCCGACCATAGATATCAGATGTGCGCCGGTAGGGGATCGAACTGCGGACCGTATGTGTGGTCGGCGAGAGTCCTAACCGCTGTGCCACCGACGCACATTGAGTGTTTATGAGAATTGATAATGTCAAGTAGAAGATAAGGCTTCATTTTGTTCTGTTTTCTGAAGTGCTCTCCAGGCGGACCTCATCCTCACACACACACACACACACACACGACATGCAGTGATATTGCTGAGTTCCTTTTTTTCTAAAAATTACTTATCTTCATGGGATTAATCATTCTAACCTTAGCTAAATTTCTCTGTTCTGACAGTATATCTGACTATACCCAATATAATAGTTTGACCTATGTAGTTGAACCCACTCACAGTTATTGCAAGATATATTCTAAATTATATTATTTTGTTTGATTGGATCCATTGAGAGGGTCTTTTAGCCTAAAGAGCTTGTCCTACTTGAGTGAATTTGTAGGTTTTGAATGCCACCATCTTAATACTAGCTTTATTGCTCAAGTTTTATCCTTATAGCAACATGAGATCATTTTTGTTGTTGATGTTGTTGTTTTCTCTCACGTCAATTCAACTGCTTAAAAGCTGTAGTGTAACAAATATTTCTTTCGTATTGACAAGAATTTAACTGGTATTTCTAGTAATATTATTATTCGTATTAATACCTACAATAAGATCTATAAATAACTTCAATCTAGTCTGATCTCAGTTGTTAAGTAAGCTAACTGCCGAACTGGATTGCTCACCAACCCCGCATGTGGTCGGGGATTCGATCCCTGACCGATGTATTCCTTTACCTCACCAAATCAGCAATAAAACTGGTAAAGTGGGAAGGTCGGACATGAGGCTGGCTAGCAGCCCCATCCCGTGAAAATAATCACCACTGCTACAGAAACTTCAAGCCTGTAGCTTGAATCCCTCACTATGTTCCACTGGGGACGTAAAGGAGTGAAAAATATTAACACAATGCTATTGTTGAATAATTAGATCAATATCCTCGAAAAAACCAAAAGTGGGGACAGAGTTCAACAGTTCCTGAAAAGGCCTTAATCTTACAACTTCAGTTCCTCGGAGACAACATCAGCGAGATACTAACACAATGCCTCATAAATACGATAAAAAGAGCATTCCCTGTTTCTGAATCACACTGTATCTTCAAATTTACACCTCAACTGCGTTCGGGAGTAAAAGAAAAACTGCCTAATTTTGCCTCTTCCATGTGTATCTACCAATTCGACTTCTTTTGTGGAGTGAGTCATTTATATAGGCCATACAATTAGACATGTTTCTCATCGGATTTCCAAACGTCATCCTGCATGTTGGGTTAAGTAAGGGACAAAGAAAATCTATTCGTAGCGTTATTATATCACATCTTTTGGATACAGAACACAAGATTGATTTTAACGAGACAGCTCTCAAAGTCATTTATCGCATACCAACAAATCTTAACTTCGCCTTAAGAGTTCGATTACTGAGGCTGACCGTTGGGATCCACATTAAGAAGTTCAGTTCGTTCGTCCAAAAGAAGCAAGTTCAGACAGTGTCCTTACCTTGGTCATCTAGGTTCAAATAATCCTGAAAATTTGTGAATTTTTCCTAATTTCAGTTTATATTCTATTTGCTACTATATCTTTATTCTTATTATAATTTAAGCATCTTTAATGAACTGTAATTCCGTTGATCTTACTTAACAAATCGATATTATTTAAAAAGCACACTAATATTGTTATTGACTACTATTCTAGAATATTCTATGCGTATATATAATCATGTATATATATATATATATTCATAGAGCCAGAAGAGAAAATTATCGGGGAGGATATTCTTTGCTCAATTATTTTGTGTTTTATAGATATCTGAATGAATATTTTCGCTATTTTGAATAGAAACAAGGTTCAGTTCAATCTTAGATCTTCCTGTCGACTGATTGGATCGAAATGCTGGGTCTCATGTTGACATATCTGTCGGCTTCTTGCGCAGTTGCTTCGACGATGCCTGGGCATGTAGCAAGAAGTTTATTGGTGGAGAGTGCGCATTTTGAGCCTCAGTGGGAAAATCATCACTCACTACGGAATGCAGGCATATCCAGTTGACGAGTCCCAAATAGAACGAAACCCTAGTCATTATCCACCAATTAATTTCTAGAAACAAATTTTATCTACAAAGAGTAAAGTACGTAGGAATAATACGAAAAATGTTGTTTGTTTGTTTTTTTCGCTATTTTTGTATTCTAATAACAAAACGTAGTAAAACGAATGACGTTCAGATTGTTTTTCAAAAAAATACAGAAAACATTAATAAAAAAATGTTTGACTTTGTTTTATTAGTTTAATTACTACAACAGTGCAAAGTTCACCAGCGCCTGTTTTTGAGTACACAAAATTTTTATTATCTTTCCTCTAGAGCCAGTGTTTCTCAACTATTTGTTTGTAGGAATTTTGTTTTGATTGGTCAGAAGATTTCATCATGAGCTGAAATCGGTTAGACAACCAACCATTGGAAAACCAGCTGAGAGTACTAGACAACTAGCTATTTCGTCGGCCTAGTTTGAGACACTTCATAAGTATGCATTCACATATCGGGGTTCGAATCCAGCACCTTTCGGTTATACGGCCAGAAAGCTGGTATACCATTCAGCCACTACGACCCCACCCGATTCCTCAACGGCCAACCCATGAATTCGTAAAAATACAAATCTAATCCCCACAAACCAACTATCAAAAATTAATCTGATGCTCGCTAGTCACTTGCTACACGATTTAGTTTCCTGGAATTCTACTGAGAAGTTGTGACCAGTGAGACCCATTCAGTTGGGCATGAAGATGGATGTCCTAATGATGACATTGCTTGGTGCCAGTAACGCTAAATCACGAATTGACAGAAGTTAGAATTCATGGGTTGCCCATTGAGGAGTTGAGTCGGGTGAGGTCTCAGTGGCTGAATGGTATACGAGTTTTCTGGCCTCACAACCGCAGGGTTTTGGGTTCGAAGCGTGGTGGTGGGTGCGTACTGACAATGATTCTCAAAAAACTAGGATGAGACAGATGTCTAGTACTCTGTCGTGGTTTTGCAGTGGTTCTCGAACTGATATCAATCCATGGTCAACTCGTAAAAAGGTGAATTTATGGAAAAGGTAAACTTAGAATTAAACCACAGACGGAATGCGACGTACTAATAACTTTGAAAAGGCTACTATCACATATTAAGTACACATATTTACGACTGTAATGAATAATTTAGCATGAAAGTATTACACACGATACTTTTCACTGTCAGAAGCCAATTTATCCTTTAAATATGTTCAATAAAGCATTTAATTCGTTCTGTCAATAAGCTTCAGTGGTTATCTCTCTCAGACAAAGTTCATTATAATCAGTCAGAATGAATCCATTTTACAATTGCCTTCTTTATCGAAATTAAAACTTTCTCCTTACAGACCTATATAGACAGTCAAACCATACCAAGATGTAAAATGATGCCTATGAAAAAAGAAAAAACTCGATAAAACTACTTTTTGGAAAACACGACAACTAGAAAACGGCTGAGACAAATTTGATTGGTTAACTAGTTAGCCAGTCAGAAGTCAAGATTATAGCTTGCTAATTTACTTTGTTACCACACCCACGCATTTCATCCAAGACACATCGAATAGAAAAAAGGATAAGGTGAGAGACTATAAAGGACACACTGTTAAGGGCATGGCTTAAGATAGACAGACAACAATTACATATTCTAGACAATCGCGACGCGTGTTTTCTAACCAGCCTACTACAGTTTTCTTTTTTTTTTCTCTATTTGACCTTGTTATGTTCTTACCCAAACTCTCCTATGCCTCGTCTGCTATTGTTGGGTTATTATTATTATTTTTTTTAATGTAGACAAACATCCGTCAGAAGGGGGCCTTTTTAAAACTGTTCATACGATGACATTTATTCATTGTTGTTCAGTTATGCTATATGTGAAATCGTTTGGATTTATGTCATCTGATATAAAGTTAACTATTCATTGAGACATCTTTCCGTATGATATTGTATTGTATTGTGGACTTATGTAATGGCGTTTTCTCTTCCAAATAATCCATACTTCTCAGCACCAACATCTTTATCAGATGTGACAGAATTCAGGCAAAATTTGGTCTCTAGGATTTTTGGCAGACCTCAGGACTATGATCTTTCACTGACACAATCTCCATCACCTGAATTACTTCGCAGACCTGATGTTGTTTCAAATTCACGGAAGCCTTTATGTGCACCTAATAATAATTTGCTAAATTCCCCTGGCTGGTTCCAACATGCACTTGCTTCCAGTCTTCAAATGGGTCTATTATCTCTTCCAAGATATATGCTTAAAGATATCTGTTTGCCACCGCTACCACCTCATCCTTTGAATATGAGATTACCCAGGACGCCTAATGTATCTGCACCTTTTGAACAAATGATATCAGATGTTAAACCAAAGATTCCTAGTAAACCTACTCCTCCTCCACTGCGTACAGAACATTTCCGTTCTTCTTCATTAAATGATTGTGAAAGTTTTCCACCAACCTACCGTCAACCAACAGTTCGACCAACATTGAAAAGGCAAGCAGAAAGACCTAAAATGAATTGGTGTTCAAGTAATGCATCGAATCGTCCTTTATCTGTTGAACCACAAGATACTGGTACTTTAGTGCCTAGTCTTATTGACGGTGAAGTAATCATGGGTTTTAATGTTTGGGGTGAGAAACGTTTATGTCTACCACATTTATTTCGTTTTGTACTACACGATGTTGATTTACAAATTATTGATAAAGCATGTACAAAACTACAAATTGCATGTACAACATGTACACCAGCTCAATTGAGTCTTTTACATTCACGTCAAATACTTCCACGTACAGTTGGTAGTTGTGGTCTTATACGTAAAAGTGATGCAGAAAGGCTGACAAAGTATATTCGTCATCAAAGTATGTGTTTAGAAGGAGGAGTGAACAGTGAAGAAAATACATTATTGTCAAAATCTCCTGTCAATGTACATACTAAAGATGAATATGAGGGGAATACTTGTAAAGATCAACGACAAATGAGTCCTGCTTCATCAACTGATACAACAAAGTCAACTAATTCACTGGGAAATAAACCATCCTCCTTCTCGTTATCCTCGTCAGATCGTTTAGATTCTGGTCAAGATGAAAATCAACCTGAATATGGGTGTAAAAACATTGAATCCAATGTGATTCCAGTAATTCATGAATGTTTTGGTCGCCAGTTAGGATTAATCTATCCAGATTTATATAAAGAACCTTATTCAAAGTGTATCAAATGCGTGACTTGTTGTCGATATTTTTCACCTGAACAGTTTGTTGGACATACGCATACTGTTACCGAAGTTGATAATTTAAATCATTGGGGTTTTGATTCAACAAATTGGCGATGTTATCTACGATTATATACAGGTCGACGATTGAATTTAAATTCAACACCTATTCTGGCTAATATTAACAATGAACCTGATTCATCTGGGAAGACAAATTCCAAAGAACCTGTATTCACTGTAGACGCACATCGTCGTCTAGAAGAGTTCAAGATTAAATTTGCTCAAGTTAGTTAGTTGTATTGATTTTCTGTGTTGGCTTCTCATGATTAGTCGTCATATATGTATTTCATGCATTGTAATTTCTACTCCAGTTCTCCTTCACACAAGTGTTTTTCAAATATTTGCATTGATATTTTTGCTTGGTTAACTGTTTAGCCTACGTTCAGGGTTTAAACACACCCATGTGATCCCGGTCGGATTCTCCATTGATGCACTTCTGTACCTGGTTTATTTAGTAGTTAACCTGGTTTAGAGGAAAGGTTGGGTGTGAGGCTAGCCTTCTTATCCATTAGCAAAAGAACTACCAGTAGGGAATTTGACAAGTTAGAAGCCCTACTTGGAACTCAAGAAAATAAGAAAACAGCTACATTACATTTAAGTTTCTCACTTTGTGCACCTCACCATTTATATTACATTACCTGAGAGTGATGTTTCGCAAATGATTCTTTCCAACTGGTTGCTTTGTAAGGATTAGTTTTGTGTCTGACGAGTTGATCATGGATTGATGCTCGCCGCTGACTTGTTACAGGACGGAGCTTCCTGGAGTTCTAGTGAGAATTCGTGACCAATGAGGTCCATCCACTTGGGAGTAAGGATGGATGTCTCACTGATAACATTGGTTGGTGCCAGCCGCGTTAAAACACGAAATGGTAGAAGTTAGAATTCATGCACTGGCCATTAAGCAGTCAGGTCGGGGATTGGAACCCTGTCTGTGCGTGCTTACTGCCGATGATTCCGAAAAAAAACTAGGATAAAACAGCTGTTCAGTACTCTGTAGTGGTTTTTTCAATGTTTCTCTAACTGATATCGATCCGTGATCAACTCGTAAAAATTATGTGTGTTTTCGTTTCATGTAGAATATTTAGTGAGAATTTCTTGATGGCGTATTCGTTTACTTCAGTGCATGATCATTCCAAATTAATTCGTTTTGATATTAATGGATGATATTTATTTGATATTATTTCTAAATAATTATGTGTTGTGCACTAACTAGGTATGATACTTATTTAAAACTTTGTCAAAATGTGATTAATTGGCATAGGCAGTCATCCCTTCCCAGTCGGTACATCCTGGGTTCGAATCCCGTCCCACGGTTGGAAAGTATCATCAGTCTTTACACAGTAAGTGTGTATCTTACAGCCTGGTAGAAGAAGAAATCTCAAAGTTCATGAAAAATTCCCATTCGAACATTAATATACAGAAGACCAGTAGTTCGGCGAAGAGTCTCTTTTCACCAGCGAATTCATTTTCATAGCTGTACAATCTCAAATATATATACATGGTTGTTTTGTATGTATGTGTGTGTACATTAAATTTGTCAAACAAAAATACAATTAGTAAGTTCAGATGAATTGGATGTTCGAATAACAGGGTAGTAAGAAAAGTGATAAGTTGTCACGAACGATTGTTAGCGAAGAGTTACACAATAACATAAATAGTTTGATGAAAGAGTTGTACTCATGGTGAGCATGGAAACAAAATAACACACGGAAGTACGCAAGAGTTTTTAAATGGTTAGAAAAAACAAGCATACAAGCAAAAGTTAAGTCAAATCAACATATGATAGTAGAAGTGGTTGAATAACTTTCTTTTGTATGCATAATTCTGGTTCGTCTAACTGAATGGCTAAGGTTTCTGCAATGAAAAGAAGACGGAAACGTATTGTCGATGGCAGGTGGTTCTTAACTTCGTGGATTACTCAAAGTAATTGAATTCCATTGATAATATCCATGGCAATAGGAAAAATAACACAGATGATATTTTGGGTTAATTCAAATGTCATTTATTATAACCTTTTTTATCACTGTTAATTGAACTGTTGTTGAGGTATAATTTTTTCATATGTGATTATTTTCTAATTGATATTTGTTTAAAAGGAGATGAATGTTTACTGATAGTCAAGTTGAAACTTGTTCCGTTTACTTTCTTCTTTAACAAGTGAACACAATTCATACCCTGGAGTAAACATGCATTCATTAATAAGGCTTTATTTTTATATTTTGTCAATCTGGTTACACGTAACCAAACGTTATTCATATATATATATATATATATATATATATATATATGTATTGCAGAACCTCGACTGAGATGATTAGGACATGTGTTAAGTACGCCTAGTTATCGCCTTCCTCGACTGACGGGCAATGTTAGCTGAAAAAGAGCTAGTGGCGGTCAAACCAAAACATGGCTTCACCAGTCATTGAAATCCACAACAGTTAGTTTATGCCAGCCACGGGACGGTAAAACCCAATGAAGGCTGAAAACAATCGGTGATATGACTCAATGTGATCTTTCTCAATGATGGCTGGCGCAGATGCATCCACTCCTTGTGACTTATGATATCCAATAAAACTAACTATATTGTGCTTCGTTACTATTACTATTCCTCTTGTCTCACACCTCTATTTACTGTCTCTATTTTGCATTTCCTGTTTACTTTCTTCCCTCGCTTTGTGTGTTACATGGAGTGGAGTGTGACGACTTGAAGTGCTGCACATCGGTGCAAAGTTCTGTGTCGAAAACAGACAGGCAGACAGATATTGTAGAACTATAAATATATGGGCTAACTAACTTGAATTGTTCCACTGTTAGAGAACTATGCTTCTTATCAGTTGTAAGATAAGATGGAATAAAAGAATTTACACAACAGTAGTCTGTTGTTTCTTTTTGGTAGGGGAGGGGTGGATGGGTTTCTGTGCACTTTCATTTTTTCATCATAGAATATCTAGAGTAAGTATGATAACTTCACTCAGTTAGCCAGTCAGTCGGCTCATAATATAGAAATTTAATATCCCTTGTAAACCAAAAAGACACTTGATTTGTTTGCTTAAAACTCAGTTACCTCCGAACAGGTGCTTTTATTGTCTGTCAGCCATACTAGTTGTACTGAAGATCATTCAGGTTAAAGTAGGCAGAGCAGTATCCCAACTAATGACCTGTTGACTGAAGCCTACATTGTTAAAGTCGTAAATAAAGTCACATCTTCACAAACTGAGGGAATATTGAGCATCGTATGAGTTCATTAATAAGCTGAATTTTTGACTATTCACTCTTCCCATAGGTGACTGGGATAGTTCATAGGGTAAATATGACAGAAAATACTGTAAACTTCTGTTGAAGATGCTTTAATATGCATACTCTGTGTCGGTGGCTCGGTGGTAGAGTGTTGGCCGACAATACATGTGGTCCAGGGTCCAAGTCCCAGCCGGTACACACCTTTACTTCCCTGGGCGTGAGAATTGCAACCTCACCCTGTAAAAAAGATAACATCACTGCTAATGAAATTTCCCATGTTCCACTGGGAACGTAAAGGAATGTAAACTTTTTTTTTTAAATGCCTACTCCAGCCACTCAACTTTGTCTTTATATCATCTCACAGTGTGTTAGTTAAACTGGGACGATTTGAAGTTTACTGTCTAAACGTTTCGTTATTATAAAATTTATTGATTAAATTATTTCATAACATTAAAAAGTGTGTGATCGAAAGCACACAATATTTTGCAGTGTTTTTTTCCTCGACGTTTACAATACCTCATATTATGTGTATAATAATTTAAATTTATAGTATAAATAACATATAACAAAAGTTTCGAGGTATTAATTTAATTCAACTCAACGACGATTTCCAATTTCCTTCAGTTGACACTGAGCTTATTATCTATTGTGTGAGGGTTGGTGGTGCTAGCCGGCGGCGGCGGCTGATATCTCAGTCGGTTGTAAATTAAGCGCTACAGCTCCAGTGAAGTGATTATCGTGGCAATATACCACACCATCTTCTAACATAGAATTATATCAGAGAACCATTGAAAACCAGCACGGAGTACTGAACAGGTGTTTCATCCTAGTTCTTTGGGAATCATCTGCAGTAAGCACCCACAGACAGGGTTCCAAACCACGACCTTCCGGTTACAAGGCAAGCTAGCTCGTATACCATTCAGCCACTCCGATCAGACACGATCAGAATCCTCAGTGGCCATCCCATGAATTCTAACTTGTACCAATTCGTGATTCTGTGCGACTGGCACCAACCAATGTCATCGGTGGGATATCCATCCTCACACTTGACTGGATGGGTAAGTACTGCCGATGATTCCCAAAAAATACTATAGAAAATCGAATTCTATTCTACCACAGTGATCAATTTCTACTCTGATCTATCACCTTTGTGTGCGTGTTTTCGGTGCCGGTGACTATTTTTTCTCTTTGAATGCTGTTGTGTTTTCTAAAATCTAAATTCTAGACAACTACTTTTTAGCGATATTTTCATGTTTTCTGTAGTTTCCCACATAACTTAAATGCTAATCAATCAATTCTGGAACAATTGAATCCAGGTTTCACGCATAATTTTTTGATTTGAACGTTGTTTTTTTCTCTCCTCTGTTCAACAGCCGATTAAACTACCTCCATCACTGAGTGCAGCTTTACGGAGTGTAGGATTATGCGCATCTGTAGCACCATTTTCTACTGGCAGCAATATTGTCAACACTCAACCAACAACTTCACAAGTCTCTGAAGTATCCATCTGTGAACAAATTTCAGCATTGATAAGAAAAACTAGTCAATCGAAGGTACCACAGTCACAACCATCAGCACCATTACAACAACAACAACAGCAACAACAAGGTGTACCGATACGATCAAATAAACTAAATGATCAAACTTTATCAAATACTATGACTAATTCCGCTGTCAATCCATCTCCACCATGTAATGTAATGTTACCTCAGTTAACATTACGTCGTCTTTGGGCACCTAATGATGGACGTATCAAGCTTCCTCCTCCACCAAAGTTATTAACAAACAGGTGAGTTTATTTACTTCTACTCTTCATTAAGAATCGATTGTCATATAACACTTTTTATTTTTTTTGTAGCGATTTAAGGTAGCTTGAAAGTTCTAATAATACTGTTTGGTGGCTGCTTGCCTCACATCCAATCTTCTGTCATTGCCTAGTTTCCTATCGATTGGCTATTCGAGCACTGAATTTGGTGAATAAGTTGTGTGCATGGTTTGGCGAAGATTATTAGTATTATTATTATTCTACGTTGAAATTTCTGTAGCAGTTTGGTTAAGTTTTGGGGACGAAGTTGCTAGCACCACGCCCCCCCCCAACCCTCCCTTCTTATCCGGGTTTGGGACCGGCTAGAAAACTAGCGAGCTAGTAATCTAGGCAAGGTTGAAGGGGAGTGCGTCGGCCGGGAAACGAACCCGGACCACGCGCGTGGCAGGCGAGCATTCTACCATTGAACCACGGACGCCCACTGGTGTTTCCGCCCAGGATCAGAAACTTGGATGGCGGGTCACAAAGAATATTTCCAACAGCCTTTTGCAGACCTTAATCAACCAACAACTGTCTTCTCTGGATCTATAATGAAGATCAATCAGATGGCTGGACCGGAAAGAATCACCAACAAGAAACTATGTCAACAAACAAACAAAACAAGAACCAATCGCCAACCAACAAATATGCAGGAGGGAGAAAGTGGAGATGGATGAATTGGACACTCACTGAGGAGGCCATCGCTGGGTGACGTCGAGCGCACGTCAGGCCATTGCTCGAGTGGAATCAGGCCGAAAAGGAAGCAGCGAGTGGGACGTCAGTGTAAGGGTGATATGGAGGAAATCGTGTGAGGAGGAGGAGTTGAAACAGTATGGACTGTGATGGATGCAGGCGAAAAGTATAGTAGAAGACAGAAGTGGCAAGTGGAGACGTGCAGTTGAAGCCCTATGTTCCACTAGGAACCCAAATGAACAATAATAATAATTATCATTATTATTCTACGACTGGACCACACTGACCATCGTATACTGATGATAATAATAAAGCGTGATTTCTTCTCGGCATATGTATGTATTTTTAAGGCAAAACCTTGTGTTTAAGTTCTCTGTGTCCTTAACTAAGCTAAGGCAGTATTTAGGTCATTAGTCTGTTTTTCTATATAAATATATATATATATATATATATATATATATATATATTACTAGTTACCTTGTCTGATGATGTCCTTGTTACAAAATCTTTGTATGCATGCAAATTTATTATCTTCTTTGTTATTTAGCTAGTCAGTTAGTTGGTTAGTCAGTTCAGACCTAGCCACCGATGACCTCATTTCAATGAGTTTTCTAGTCTCTCTTTCTCTTTCTTACTTAAATGTTACTTTTAATTCACACACACACACACGCATACAAAGAGGCACAAATATAAAGTTCATTCACATATTATTAAGGACGGGTACTATTAACATCATCTGTTGTTTCCTCCTTTCTCTCTCTCTCTCTCTCGCTCATTGACTGCCTTCTTACTATAGCGCATAGGTTAATCAATTTATTTACCATTGTCCCATTCAGGTTAACCTCAATTGTATTATATTCGCCAGTGTACTTTTTCCATGATCAATGACCTTGTGATTTATATAAGTAGGATTAAGAGGGGAAAAATAATCGATTCTTTCACAATTGAAGTCTAGTAAAATTCATATATGTGTATGTCGGTAGTGTGTGTGCGTGCCTGTGTGTGTGTCGTTTTTGACCCATTAGGTCACCATAGTTTTGCTATATATCAGCTTTTATTTTACCCGTATTCCTATGTGAATCGTGAATATATGTTCTCTTCTTTTGGATGGCTATTTTCTCTTTGACATATCTCCATCGAAGTGATCAGCCTTATTTTGAGTAATATGAATGTCTTACCAAAAGTGCAGGATTGATGACGAGTTGACATCATTTAGAGGACTATTGGAAAATTACCGGCGAGCACTGGACAACTGTTTCGTACGGGGTTTTTGGGATTCTTCATCCGCACGCACCAACACCGTGGCCTTCGAGCTTGTAGACCATTAGGGCCACTGGGACCCGACCCAATGGAATGGTTCATGGATTCCAACTTGTGTCAATTCATTAGATATTTAACTAAAGCACTTGTTTGCGTCATGAATGAGTAACCGTCCTCTTACCTGACTTGGTGGATCCAGTGGTCGTCTAACTGATATAGCCTCATGATAAATCCTGTAATCAATCAGATCCTTGCAGACCAACACGTGACACCTACCGGGATTAAATAGGTCGAAAAATTTTTGTTGGACGGCGGTGTTCATGGGTAGTAGTAGTAGTAGAATTCATGATGCTTGCGTTTCTCGTCTTATTCTGGACTCATCGGCTGCATGTACTTGCATCCCCAATGAGTCATGGTGTTCCCACTTATACTGGAACCCAGTAGCCCCAAAATGCACTATCTACTAAGTCATTGAGTAGGCTAAAGCATCAGTAAAGGCAAAAACACATATATTTTTCAATGCACTTATTATTATTTGCAGTTTTGCTAGTTAGGATTGGCGGGATAACACTCTGATATCGTTAGTGAAAGTGTGACATGGTCTAAAGGACACACAGTGACTATTAATGATTATGATTATTATTATCTTAAATAACTAAATATTTCAAAAGTGCCACGGAACTGTGTTTC